CGTAATGTTACGACTTTGTGTTCGTAATGTTGCGACTTTGTTTTCGTAATGTTGCGACTTTGTTTTCGTAATGTTGCGACTTTGTTTTCGTAATGTTGCGACTTTGTTTTCGTAACGTTGCGACTTTGTTTTCGTAATGTTGCGACTTTGTGTTCGTAATGTTGCAACTTTATTCTCGTAATGTTGCAACTTTATTCTCGTAATAGAAGAAAAAAAAATCTCTAGCCTGGCCTTAATACTCCGTTGTACCTACTAAAAGTATGGTGGCGTACATGTGTACATGTGCAGGGACTGATTGGTGTATATCTCTAAAAGTTTTTTGGGGTTGGAGGTGTTGTGTGAAAGTGAAAGAAAAATATGTGAAAAATGAGATATTTCTCATTGGTTTTAAAAAATGCAGAGTGAGTTATGCTTTCATTTTTAAAGAAAAACAAAAGGAAAGAGAAGTGCTACTAAAACCAGCAGATTGGGTTTTTATTTTTGTTTTAACTAGACCTAAAACCAATGATTTCTATCCAGTTTTGAGACGTAGATCAGAGTGAGAACCTGCTAAAGATGGCCTCCGGGCTTGTTTAGGAAGCGGTGAGCATCCATCCTGTTCTGTCCAGGTCTCTGCTGGTGGGATTCTAGCAAGTAGGTTTGAAAGAACCAGAGAGGGGAATTTAGAGCAAGAGGGTTTCTGCCAGATGCAAGATCTATTTCAGCAAAAGAGTCAAACAAGCACTCTGCAACATCTGTAGGCTGCTAATCGACAGAGATTACCCAAAAGTGGGGGGTGGGAGACTACTGAGGGGATTATCTGGAAACCCGCACAACGAGGGCCTCATGGAATAAATTAAAAGCTTTGACTCCAGCAGTCAGTTAAAGAGCGGATCGGCTGGGTTTATGTCATACATACAATGTTTTTTGTTCTTTTAAGCAAAGTAAATAAAACTCATGTCTTCAGCAGGATGAGCACCAGAGCATCCCTGGTGTCAGATAACAGCTGTTTTAAATATGCGGGGAGCGGGCCTCAGAGTGGACTACAAACTTTCCCAACGCTCCTTGGCTCCAACTAAAGGGGTCCAAACTTTCTAGCGCTCGGCGGGAGAGCGCCGCGGCGTGCTGGAGCCACGGATGTCCGGCGCCGCTCCGGCTCTATCTGACATCTTCAGACATGTCCAACACCCTGGACAGATGGACGTTTTTTTGTTTTTTCAAAAAAAGAGGTTTATTAAGATGAAATTCTGCTTATATGACATATATTGTAAAGCAAACCAGCAAAATGATATTTTCAAATACTTATAAAGATGTATTATCTAAAGGAATTTCATGACTTAAAAGATAAAGTTAATTTTCATAAAAACAAAGAAGTGATTTACAGTTACAGATTTTTTTTTCTTCATTTTGTTCCTCCCAGAGTGAAATTATAAGATTTCCTTGATTAAAACAAGTTTAAATTGAACATTCAGTGGTGTGAGTTGTATGTTTTTCACAGTATGGTAACAAAGGTTTGGCAAAAAAAACAAAATATTTTTAATTAAAACAAAAAATAATTTTAAATGCTCCCGAAATATTACATTTATTGTGTATATTTGTCTTAATTTTTATTCATTGTTTAAGAAAAAAAAAAATAAGTTGCTATTTTATTATTTTTTTTCAGAAGCAAAATTCTGCTTTTTATTGTAAATATTCTGGGCAATAACTCTGCTGCTAATATAGAAATAAAATATTTTTAGATAATTACATTTTAATGCCAAACCAAGATGATATTAGGGGGTTTTAATATTTTAGTCTTTAGTAGATTCTTGCTTTTTGTATTTTATTTTAGTAACCTATAAACATTTAAGGCATTATTTTAAGGTATAGCTATTGTTGCTTGACACTTACAAACTTATTTTATGGAGTGCATTTTGTTCCATTATTTTTTACAAGCGACGAACACATTTTGTAAATTGAAATTTGAAAAAAAAAAAAAAAAACATCTAATCCAGAAATAACATGTTGAAAAAAATCTTAATCACAGAAAGGTTAGGAGGAGAGATTCATTTCACTGTTTTCTTAAATTTTATTTGTTTTAGAATATTCATTCCATGTTTTCTTTAAACTAATTTTTAAAAAACATTTCTTATTTTTTGTTTACAGATTTAATAAGTAAATAATGTTCAGTTCTTTCTTTCCCATATTGAGTTTTTTTAAATTGCGTTTTAGCTATCCTATTAGGGCCAGGTAAGAGGGTTTTTCTTTATTTTAATTTTGAGAATAAAGTCGTAAAATTATGAGAATAAAGTCATCATACCACAACCCATTTCAGAAAGAAAGCTTTGAGCTCCGACCAGCAGATGACGGTCAACCAGCTCCACCAATCAGCAACCTGAGTTTACTTTGACCTGCTGCCCAATTTGATGCTGCTGTTAAAAGATTTCCTTATTTGTCGAACCAGAGCCAAAATATAAATTCACTTAATGCTCCACATTTTTGATTTTAGGGAAGAAAGTGTTTCTTGTAAGAGTTGTCATAAAAAAGAACTTGTTTCTCGTAATTTTAGGACTTTATTCACCTAATATTACGACTTTATTCTTGTAATTTTACAACTTTATTCTCGTAAATGTACGACTTTATTCTCGTTATGTTACGACTTTATTATAATTTTACGATATTATTCTTGTAATTTTGACTATTCTTGCAACTTTTTTCTCGTAATATTATGACTTTATTCTTGTAATTTTGCGACTTTATTCTTGTAATGTTCCGACTTCACTCGCGTAATGTTATGAATTTATTCTTGATATAGAAGAAAAAAAATCTCTAGCCTGGCCCTAATACTCCGCTGTAACTTTCTTTACTTCAAGCTGAGTACAAACGCAAACTCCTGGTGCACAGATAGAGCAACAAAAATGTTGCCAGGATCCATGCAGACCAATACAGATGTGTCATTGCCCTTTAACGCAGAGGAAATACCGCCCTAGAAGTGAAAAAAATCTAAAAATTCTATTTGACATTCCTTATTTTAGGGAAGAAAGTGTTTCTTGTAGGAGTTGTAATGAAAAAAAAAACTTGTTTCTCTTAGTTTTAGGACTTTATTCACTTAATATTACGACTTTATTCTNCTTAATATTACGACTTTATTCTCGTAAATGTACGACTTTATTCTCGTGTTGTTACGACTTTATTATAATTTTACGACTTTATTCTCGTAATTTTAACTATTCTTGTGACTTTTTTCTCGTAATATTATGACTTAATTCCTGTAATTTTGCGACTTTCTTCACTATACTTAGGACTTTATTCTCGTAATTTTATGTCTTTGTTCTTATAATTTTACGATTATTCTCGTAATGTTACAACTTTATTCTCGTAATGTTACAACTTTATTCTCATAGTTTTACGACTTCATTCTCGTTATGTTACAACTTTATTATAATTTTACGACTTTATTCTCGTAATTTTGACTATTCTTGTGACTTTTTTCTCGTAATATTATGACTTAATTTCTGTAATTTTGCAACTTTCTTCACTATATTTAGGACTTTATTCTCGTAATTTTATGTCTTTGTTCTCATAATTTTATGACTATTCTCGTAATGTTACAACTTTATTCTCGTAATTTTATGACTATTCGCGTAATATTAAGACTTTATTCTCATAATTTTATGACTATTCGCGTAATATTAAGACTTTATTCTCATAATTTTATGACTATTCGCGTAATATTACAACTTTATTCTCATAGTTTTACGACTTCATTCTCGTTATGTTACGACTTTATTATAATTTTAAGACTTTGTTCTCGTAATTTTAACTATTCTTGTGACTTTTTTCTCGTAATATTATGACTTAATTCCTGTATTTTTGCGACTTTCTTCACTATATTTAGGACTTTATTCTCATAATTTTATGTCTTTGTTCTTATAATTTTACGACTATTCTCGTAATGTTACAACTTAATTCTCGTAATGTTACGACTTTATTCTCATAATTTTACGACTTAATTCTCGTAATGTTATGACTTTATTCTTGAAATAGAAGAAAAAAATCTCTAGCCTGGCCATAATACTCCGCTGTAACTTTCTTTACTTCAAGCTGAGTACAAATGCAAACTCCCTGGTGCACGGATAGACCAGCAAAAATGTTGCCAGGATCCATGCAGACCAAAACCAATGTGTCATTGCTCTTTAACGCAGAGGAAATACCGCCACAGAAGTGAAAAAAAATCTAAAAATTCTAGAATAATTCATAGAATAAAAATAATAAAAAAGACTGTGTTGCCCCAGACCCTAGGAAAGCTGTCAGCAGGCCTGCATGGATGTATTCTTACTCTTTGATGCTAGAAAAAAAAACATTTCTTAAACCATATATATATATATATATATATATATATATATATATATATATAT